AAGAATAAATCTGATATTGCTAGATTAAAGGAGATGCTTAACTCGGAGTTTGACATGAAAGACTTGGGTGCAGCTAGGAAGATTTTGGGTATGGAGATCTACAGGGATCGGGCTAGAGGTAAGCTTTTCTTGACTCAGAAAAGCTACATTGAAAAATTTTGTCTCGTTTTGGGATGGAAAAATCGAAGCCTATAAGTACGCCAACTACTGTTAGTTGTAAGTTGTCTTTGTCTATGTCACCTCAATCAGAGGAGGAGTTGTCTTATATGTCTAGAGTTCCATATGCAAACGCGGTTGGTTGTTTGATGTATGCTATGGTCTGTACTAGGCCGGATATTGCGCATGCTGTTAGTGTTGTAAGCAGGTTTATGGCTCAACCTGGAGGGAACACTGGCAAGGGGTGAAAAGGATTTTTCGCTACCTGAGAGGGACAACTGATATTGGTCTTTGTGTACGGGAATGGTAGGAATGCTTGGTCACTGGGTACAGTGATTCTGATTATGCAGCTGATGTGGATACCAGGAGGTCTGTGACTGGTTATGTGTTCACTTTGGGTGGTTCTGTGGTTAGTTGGAAGTCTACATTGCAGTCATCAGTTACGTTGTCAACTACTGAAGCTGAGTATATGGCTCTAACTTCTGCAGCTAAGAGTCTATTTGGCTCAAAGGCCTAGTAGGTGAAACTGGGTATTGCACAGGATTTTGCTACAGTGTATTGTGATAGTCTAAGTGCGATTTGCTTAGCTAAAGATCAAGTACACCATGATCGGACGAAGCACATTGATGTCAGGTATCATTTCTTACGTACTGACAAGAGGATTAAGGTGAAGAAGATTGGGACTGCTGACAACCCGGCTGATTTCTTCACTAAGCCTGTTCCGTTTAGCAAGTTTAAACATTGCTTAGACTTGCTAAATATTGATTACTACGTGATGTAGTAGGCCCTGAGGGGCGAAGTTGGGGAGCTCCTGGTGTAGGTGTGTTGGCATTAAGGTGGAGCTTGCCCGGGGCTTGTGATGCAGGTGGAGCATTATGAGTTGTTATACTTGGAGACGAGTATGTGATGGGTCTTGGTTGAAGACTTATCGGGATGTATGGCTTATGCATTGAGTCCTGCATCGGGTTTGGCTTGAGATGTTTTTTCACTATGTCTTGATGGGTCGTTTGCTGACTACGAGTTCTCGTCAAGGTGGAGATTGTTGATAAGTATATTAGGTGACTCGTACTTCGTAGCTTTGTCCGCCCGATCGGGCGGACATTGCCCGGTCTGACCGGGCGGAAGAAGAAGAGGTGCCTGGCAAATTCGTTGAAGAAAGCTGCTCTCGCGCCCGACCGGCGAGCCTTCGCCCGACCGGGCGAGCCTTCGCCCGATCGGGCAGACCTTGCCCGGTCTGACCGGGCGGTGGGGGTTGGATACGTTGAAGCATTCGTATGGAGTTTTCTTCTCGCGCCCGATCGGGCAGACCTTGCCCGGTCTGACCGGGCGGAGAAGGAAAAATACGGAACGCGGATTTTTGCGGTTTTAGGTTATCTTATTTTATTATCTTTTTGCCCAAGTATCTTTTTAATTAGGGATTAATATAAAACCTCCCTAATATCAGTATTAGGGTTAAGAGAGACAGAGTGAGAGCCGTTCTTGAGAAATACAAGAATCATCTTTGTAATCTTTGCAGTTTATAGTGAAATCATTCGATCTCGGTGCCCGTGGACGTAGCTATCACATCGATAGTGAACCACGTAAATTCTTGGTGTTGTTCTTATTGTTTGCATTGAATTTCTTTATTGTTTTCTTGTTTGTTTTCGACCTTTGCTTCCGCTGTCGCACAACAATACCTTCACCTTCTAACCCCTATAATTAACTTAAAATTACGTTGCTCGTTAATGTATATGTGTATTATATTGTGAACAATCTATATTTTGAAAAGGATGGTGTACATGAGCTCAAACATGAGGTGCCCCTAAACCCGTCATCAATATATAGGATATTTCAGTACATGATACGGAGTAATAAATAAAAGAAAAAAAATCCGGTATATATCATTTGCTTAATTCAACAATCAATATTCGTAGCTACTACTCCATGAAATATACAATCTCTCAGTTTCTGAAAGTTCTTAACACTACTTTATTTATCTCTTACAAAAGTCTCTAATTAACTACTCCATATCAAGTTTCTAAATTTTAGATCAATTGGTTGGCTGCTGCTCTTGCATAATTAATTACTGTCTTAATCATGCATTTAATTTTAAAAACGTCGTTATTATATAGTGTACGAGGGGAACGATCTACTTAAACATTGCTACATTTACTTAAGGAATAATTTATCCGCGCAAAATAATTACTCTATGTATTCGGAGTCAAAAAAATAAAAAAATATTTTGCGTGTTTGGAATAATTAAACGTGAATTGGAATATTTAATCAAATAACAATTAATCTTTCCAATCAACATATAATTTTGTCATGCATTCATCATTAACGTCATATCAGATAGGTACCTATCAATCTACGGAACGGTAAACAAAGATATTTTGCATGCAGTAACTCACTAACGTAAGAAAGAAAAGAGAAACGGGAGAGGGACATGGGAGCAGTACGTATAGGTGGATGTAGTTGTTAATAAAAGCAAAGGGTGTTGAAAACGAATTAAAGTTTATAGGATGAATGGATGGATAGATCATAGATGTTTATTATTGTGTGTTGAACAAAGTATTTAAAGTGTTTGGATTCATAGGTCATGGGGATGTGGTTGTTATAATAGCTGACGATCAAATTTATTAAATGGAAGGGTGTTGAATGCTTTTATTATAAGAAACATTTTTATTTTTCTATTCAAAAAAAATATTTATGAATTCTCGCTTTGTATTAAATACATACTTCCCCCGTTTTTATAAAAAGTCGTAAAATAATTGCAAAAATTGGTTTATTCGGCTAATATATGTTTTCTCTCTATCAACCTGACCTCTAATGTTGCAATTAAAAGAAAACATGCTGATTAGTTATATTTGGCTGATTTTTCTCTCTATTTTGATAATCACTTTCTAATTCTCTATCTCATCTCATTACAAACTATACATCCACCTGATCTTCTACGTTACAATTAAAAGAGAACGTCCGGCTTATGAGTTATGTATGCGCCATCCAATTGCGGAAGTTGTATTGATGTCACTCAATATGAATGTGATAATATTGAAGGAAGTCCTTAATATTGGAATTGAATCCGGCCATTAAAAATGATCAGTAAGGCATTGAAGACACTAGCTCCTTCAACTGTACAACAGACCCTCTATTTAATGACTCCCTCTCTTTCTCTCTCTTATAACGTCACCGCCTCTATTTACTAAGCTACGTACTATTATTAATTATTAATATGATTATATTAATATTATTATTTTCTCTCTCCTAAATTTAGGATGATCCATGATCAATTTTACCTAGGCTCTTAAATCTTAACATACATATTGAACCCAGCCCAGCTACCCAAGTTATATTGATATGTGATTGATAGTAATGTGCTCCTCAAGCTATCTATCTGATTTTTTTTTTATTTTATTGAATTGAGTTATTAGAGTAGTTATATGTATTTATGTATTGTTGGATTTAGTAGGCTACATTATTAGCCATATTTATTATTCGAACAAGTTTCATTCTATTATTTTATATTAGTTGTAATAATTTAATTTTACACATATTGGCCTTTTTGTTATAAGTAGTTATTGATTTTTACACGCTAAAAATTGTAATTTGATAAGTCATGGCCTATTTTTACAATTTGAAGCGAACAGGGACTTAAACACAAAAAAAACTCGTACTATGAATCAGAGGTAGTAAAATTTTTAAAGTATATTTTTTCAAATTTAGACAGCTTGAATTGAAATTTGTAGGATGGGTGATTTTAATTTATTTTCGATCATACCACGTCCACCAACCAAACTTATCTACCATTAAAAAATATTTGAAAAAAATAAATAAAGAGATATGTTTGGAAATTGACGCACATCCATACTGTATAGGATTAACAAACAAGGTTTCATAGTCAAAGTGTGATAGATGAAGCGAATTTGACCTTTTTTAAAAATTAAAGGTCAAAGGACTAACCGATCAAGAAATGCAAAGACCTTTACATTTAAGGTTTGTCAAATCTACTTGTTATTATGTGTGTATAATTTATTAAGTCTTTAACACAACAATTACAATGGAATAAAAATTGAGTATTCATGATTATAAAGTCGTTTCAATACTTAAAGAAGATATACAAGTACTCTTATAGGGTGTGGAAGTTGAGATACATGGTATAAAATTTAAACACTACATCCACTATTTTAATGTCCTTTGTAGTTGTTACTTGTTATACATAAGCGACAACGCTAATAATCCATTGAAGATGGGTATAGAGTCTAAATCATCTTAAATAAATTGTACAAATCGATATGACACAATTTAAATTACTTATTGTCTTAATCAATTTTCACATTAGATATAGACAAACTCTTGTATGAAACCAACATACAACATACTAATTCATCACGATACCAAAATATTGAAGTAAGCGACTCCGTAGTCCATATCCATACAGTACTAAGTATTTAGTGACAATCTCAAATGTTTAACAAGAAGTTATACGAATGCAAGTCCATCTCACCTAAGACCTATAGACACACAAAGTGGAGAGTTCATGACGATTGACGACTAAATAGAGACCGCTAGATAGTCAGCGGGATCAGGTAATGCAATTTAGTGAGGAGGAATCAATAAATATTGACTAGGAAGAGGAGAAGAGTGAGTTGGTTAGGACTACGCCATCCAAGCTTTAAAAGATGAGCAGCTCCCAAAATACAGTGCAGTAAATTCAATTAAAAACCCAAACTTCAAGTTCAAGTTCAACTTCAATTTGGTTGAGCACGCCAAACGTTTTAAGACTACAGAAAATCGGTAGTATTAATATATTTAATAAATGTGGGCCACCCTAAATCCACCTTTATATTTGTCCTCTTAGATTCTTCCTTACACATCCTTTGCCCTATTTAAGCCCCAAATACATTTACACACCCCCACTTTATCTCACACCCAACACACCCAGATAACTGTGTTTCAACTTTCAACATCTTAACGATGGTATCATTTCAAACATCTTTCCTTCAACTAAATGATCAACGGAAACCGATTTCGGAAACGACTGATGACTCCAAGAACAACATGAAAAGGAAGTGGAATGACACAGAAGATGAGGAGGAGGTGATCCTTCCTTACAAACATTGGAGGAATCCCAAGGCCGCCACTGCCATAGCGGCCTTTGCCTCCAAATCTTTCTCTGATATTGAGCTTCACCTCGAGACCCCGTTGCCATCTGAATGGCAACGGTGCCTCGATATGCAGGTAAATAAATTTTCCCATGATATGGCTATTTGGCTAACTGTTAACTTTTTTCGTACTCATTATAAATATCATCAGTTCATCTATTAGAACATAATTCGTCAAATTTTGATTTTTTTTTTTTAAAAAAAAAAATCTAAACATTCTATATATTGCATGCAGTCAGGGGAAATACACTTCTACAACACAAGAACACAAAAAAGAACACAAAAGAGATCCAAGGGAAAGCTCAGAACCATCAAAGTCCTAAAGACTGTCACATGAGCTTAGACCTTGAGCTAAACCTGCCTTGTGGTTCACTCAACCAAAATATCTCAAAATCAACATCAGAAAAGAACACAACTACGATGATCAAGAAGAAGTCTAGCCACTCACCACCACCGTCGGCTTCTCCTAATCTATTCAGGAGTCTGAGTACTGTCAGAAAGACGAACACTATCGATGTCGAAACAGCAGACGATGCAGAGGAGATGGTTGCAAACCGCTTGCAAACGGTGCCATATGCTGGTGATGCTGTGCAGATCCTCACCTACATGTCCCAACTGCAAATATGTGCACCCTCCATGCCAGAGCCCTCTTGACCTGTTCAAAGCCAAGACTTAGCCTCTCTTGTTAATTTTTATTAATCACAACAACATATGAATTAATGATCATAAGGTTGAGTGTTAATAGCTATTTAGGCCAAAAAAAAAAAAAAAAAAAAAAAATAATAATAATAATATCAATAATATTGTTTAGTATGTTGCAAAAAAAAATATATAGATCATTAGCAACAATCATGTCAAATTTACTAGTTAGTTGGCTGCTTAATCACAAATCATCATTCTCTCTACTCTAAATGGTCAAACTATGAGTTTAAGTTGTGTAAATAATATGGGGGTACCAAAAATAAAATGGGGAGCCATCTCAATCAATATTCAAATAAATTTTAGCATAGTTAAAGAATGAAAATTTAATTACTATTGCATTGATCATAAACATGTAATTACACAAAGTGATGGGCTACCAATAGTCTTACTAGTCTTGTCTTATGGTACTTTCTCATCATAAAAAATAAATGATGTACTACATATCAACCGTAATGGTTTCTTCCCTAAAAAAGGGAAAAATAGTAATCGACGTTTATTAATACACCCAACTTCCACCTAGCTAACAACATTCATGACATTTAGATGTAAACATTCACCAAACACTTACCTGAAAACTGAATGAATGAGAGTGAGAGTTCATATGCATGTCCCTCTTAAAGAAAACAATGCGTAAATTTAATTTAGTTATTAAATTTACGCTCCGATTTTCGCCTCGAGAGGCGGTGACTGAGTTTATGATGATCATCCTTTAATTTAATTAAAGGAGTGAAGGTACATGTTCAAGTGTCATACTTAAAGATTTCTAACTACTTACAAGTTACAGAAATTTACTCGTATGTTTTTACTGGCTAAGTTATTATATCAATGTTTTTGAATCACAGTTCTGCTTGCTCTAATATTTGCAAACTGAACATTCATGCTATTGAACTGTAGACCTATTCATTACTAAGGGGCAGGGTTAATAATAATACCTAGCAGCTAATGATCAAATTTATACCTAAATGAAATAAATGCATGATTTATGGAGAGAATTTATGACCTATATTCATCGTAGCAACTTAGCGGTGTTTTGGTGGACATTAAATTTAAACTTATTGAATTATTTCGTTGACAAGAACACATCAAGTGCAACTTCTTCTCTCCTTCACACAAAGCAGGGGAAGTTACTCTCACCTAGTCGCCTCTAGGTAATTAAAACTTCTCGTAGTTTTCTACTCTTTAAAGGAAGTAGAACTCCCTAGAAATTGCAAATTTGAAGAAAATGTAACTTCCTACATCTAAACAAAAAAAACCACTTAGCATTCCCTAACGATAATTAAAAAACCAGGGAAATTGTGTAGCATGAGCCCTAGCCGAATTAGACACTAATTCAGGTGCTGGGGAGGTCTATTTGTGATGGAGGGTTCTACACTATTACACTAGTCTTCAAAAGCCTAAAAGTTAACTTAGCTTTAAGCCCTTAACAAGTAAAACAAACATGATTAATAGAAAAAATAAAGGCTTCAACAATTGAATAAGAGCACTGAAGACACAACAAATGTACAAGCCTAAAATAATCTTGCTAATAACAACAGATAATCATGCTGAAGTTATCTGATCCGAAATCGAGTAGCTTAAGAAAAATCTGAGGTTGGACCTTTCATTTGCTATTCCAAAATATTAGATATTTGAGCAGAGTTTTACAAAGTGGCAGGGTGCTCATCTGCTCAATGACTCATAATGAAGTTGAAGCTAAGGGTTTGTACAGCATCATGCAACTAAGTCAATAGGATGGTGTTTTGAGCCAAGATACTCCCATTAGCTAATGCCAAACAATCGAAGCTAGTTCAGAACTCCATTTGCTAGCCTTAAAAGCCATGCCATACACAGCCTCCCTGACAATATAGAAGATAGGTACTATTAGCATTTTATCATCAAAAGTACTTTCCCATAAGTATCTTCTTAAAAAAATTGTCCCAAAATATATCAAGAGAAAATAGTCAACAAAACTAATTTTTGAAGACTGTGAGAAGCCAAATAGGAATACGGAAAACATGAAGTATACATTTCTTTGGACAGGGCATGCACTCCTGCAGTCATGCCTCATACTTCGTATAATATAATACAACAACTAAAGCCTTAATACTTCCTTGGTTCACTTTTTGTTGCTAACCGTTCGACTACAATGTTAGGGTTTTTTGTTATATTGTTGCAACTAAAAGTGAATGAAGGAAGTATTTTACACGAGACTAAACCACAAAGAGATAGAGATTGCGTGCATCATGCAAATTAAATAAATTATTAATATCTAAATGGGACAGGAAAGAGATGATAAGCTTAATTGAATAAATATAGTCATAGACTCAATTTTAATTCCCACTTGTCACTTAAAAAAAAAGAAAAAAAAAATAATAGATAAGGGAGCTACCCACAAATAAAGGCTGGGTCACTACCAGGTAGGAGGGAAGTTCATTTACTATTGGATACGCAGACAAGGTTTTCATTTAAAGCCCAAACTCCAGACTAGTTATTCAATTTAATGACCTCTAACATCTTGCTTGCTTGGAATACTAATACTCATCAGTATTTGCTGCAAAAACTTATATCAAGCTACTCTTGCATTTATGTCTCAACAATCAAGCCATCAAGGATATGCACGTTTTTCCGTAAATGCCAATCCTTCTTTGGATAAAATAGGACTTCTAACTTCCACCATTTTCCTTCATGTTCTAATTACCACAATCCATTTACCTTGCTTGAAGTGGCCTCTATAAGTAAAACGCTCAAGTAATAAGATTTGGATTTGAAGCTCGTCTACATCAACTAACTGTTATAACGTAATGTCTATAGGTTATGCACTATATGTTCTCGAGTAATTCCCAAGATCCAGGCCTCAAGCACAGCCACAAAGGTTATAGGTTATGCACTATATGTTCTCAAGAAAATCATGGGTGATTGAGGAAGAATTAACTACTTAGATTTTCAAAATCAAGACTTTTTCAAACAGAAATACAATGCATCAAATTCAGGTAAAAGTACATAAAATACTGCTAAAAAAATATCACTCATGAGTTAATAATAATTGCATAAGGTAATGTCTTGAACAACCAGAGAAGAAAATGCCTATTTAAAGGATAAAATTTATTCTGATCCCAACATCTTTGACTGAATTGGCATATAAATCAACTTATACTTCATATTCAATTATTGAAAATTTCAGTCCAGGTTTTCATAGCTAAAGGTCCACCAAAACATCAAACTAACAACTGAGTGGTTCATTCCAACTATATTTATATAATAATTGTATAAAAATAAAATCTTTCAAAATTTCTGGTACTAAATCAAAACATGGCTCTCCAAATAAATAATATGAAGATGAAATTAATTTGATAGAAACTATTCAATAATGTAAATACATAACTAAAGAGGGGGTTTTATGTGGGTATTATCTGGATCATAAATTATATTATGACAAATTGACAATCCTATATAACCTTATCATGTGACATGTAAAGGTATCAACAATACATCACCTAATGGACTTTTTTTTTTTTTGAAAGAAACCTAATGGACTTAAGCACTCATTTGTGAATTGCTCAAACTGGCTTCAAGATATACATAATTTTTTCAAATCCAACGAGAAAGCCCGGAAAATGAATATAATACAGCAAATGGTTATATCACCTCACAGCATCACTTAACGTTATTAACTGAAATAGCCTTTCGACTGAAATTATTTTTTCCTCTCAAATTTCACCCTTACTTCCTTTCTTGATTCCCCTTTATAACATGCCTTTGTACTTACTTGCTAACGTTCTAGGCTAAATACATGTCGTCATACTTTAATTCTTCCTCTCTTTATTCTAGCTTATGTAACCTCTAATAAACAGAGATCACTTTCATAATCAGACAATTGGGAAACATCACAAAAACAAGATAATTATGAGATAGGAACATATACTGTGATATGATATTATGAGAATAGTATCATATGAGATATTATTGTGAAAAGATATATGTGAGTTATTGTGATAGATTTTAGGAAGTTGAGATATTAAGGAATATTAGAGTTAGATATTACTATTGTCTATATATTGTAATGTGGCCGAATATTATGAATGGGAAAATACAATGAGAAAATACAAAGAATTATTTTCCCCAAAATTTAACATGGTATCACATAATATCATATGACAATATATGTTCCTATCTCAATAGGCTTATCTAGGATATTGCCAATGTTCCAAGATCACAAGTCCATCACTAGGCTAGTGGAGAGCACTACAAAAGCCTTCAATGTTGAAACACATGTAATAATAATACATTCATAACACAACTTCCATGATGAGATCTTTACTAGATGTTTTAGTGCAATTTTATGAACCAGGATATATAATATTTCTAGACATACCATCATATGAACCTTGCGATTTCACCCAAGAAACGGTCTTGTAATTCTAAAACTTCCCATGAGTGCAACATGGTCTGATGACCACAAAGGGGAGGGAAGCGATCTACCCACACTCTCAAAGTCAGGGGGCTCCAAGAGGCCTTCAATTTCCAAGCTATCCGCTGTAAAAACAATCAAAATTAGAATTGAAACTATTTTTTAAAGCATAAGTAAATGCAAGTTGATGAATAAATCAGACAGCAATGGCACTTAATTACAGTTTAAAACATGATGACTTAACGATATAAAATCTACATAAATGTGGTGCTAAACTGCTAACTGCTAAAAGAAAAAAGAAAAGAGTAGCTAGGTTAGCACATAACGTGCCTATGATAGAGCGAGTTTAAAAATCAATGAATAACTAGTGAACAAACATACAGGTCAAACAAATCATTCAGCAGGAAATTTTTTGACTAGCAACTACCAATCAACATAACCACATAGCAACAACATTC